TTGGTTGGCCGATTTCTCAATGCCAGCCCCCGATCCCTTCTTGGCTTTCCCCACGTACTCCCTCAGCCATTGGAGAGACCGTTGAGACTCAGACTTGCTATCTGAGGTTTCCCCACTGGTCACTCCATCATCGCCGCTGTCTTTGTTGTCCTTGTCAGCGCTAGCGGAATCAGAGTTTGTACCCCTCTGCAGTCCTTTTGCTGGGGGCTGTTCCTTTCCTGTTCCTGTTTTTGATTCCATCGTTTTTTCCATCTTGAGCAGGGTTTCATCCCTGCCAACCGCCGACCAAGACCGCCGACCGTATTGCAGCCGACCGGTAGGGCTGACCTGTTGGCGGTCTGCCGACCAGTCAGAAAACAACCATCCACTGATTTTTTTTCAAATCTGAGTTGAAGGTTGTACTGCGCTAGCTGAGTACAGCCCAAATCCACTGAGAAACTTTTGGGGATGTGGGGAGTATGGGGGGGTTGGGCTTGGAGTATAGGGGGGGTGTAGGGGGGGCTATTGGGGGGGTAATGAAGGTGTTGGGGGCGGTTTGTGGGTGTTGGGGGAGGACCGCTATGGAGGTGTTGGTGGTGTTATTACGACCCCCGACCGGTAGGTGCCGACCAGCCAATCGGTCGGCGGGTCGGCAGCCGACCAGTCAAGGGCCGCTGACCGTCGGGGGGGTGCAACACTGCTCTTGAGACCCACTTGAGTGTTTTCCAGCGTGTCATCTTCCTCCGGTGTGTTTTCCAGCATGTCGTCTTCCTCCAGGTGTGTTTTCCAGCATGTCGTCTTCCTCCAGGGTGCGTTTGGATAGGCCCTGGAGAGACTCTTTCTCCTTCCGTGTGAGCATCTCTCGAAAGGCTGTTGGTTCTTTGGAGTAATGTTCTTCAGTCTGTTCTGTAATTGAGTCCGGATCCCATAGCAGATCTTCTCTCGCATTCTCTTCCCTGATCACGCGAGAATCGATCAGCGGAGTCATGGTGATCTTTTTTTTTTTTTTTTTTTTTTTAATTAGTAGAGCTTGATTTCATTATATGAGCAAAAGGAGGCTGGGAATCCCTCCACATCTCAACCCGGTGTTCTGGGGCCAATACTCAGCTTGGGCTTTTACTGGAAAACGGGTGCAGTGTCCCATGCTTCGGGATTTCCCCAAGCTAATCCAAAACCAGAAGTTTTAGAAATTGGGCCCCTTAACAGTACAACCAACTAAAAAGGTGGGAGAAAAAATAATAAAAGGCAGATTATAGGCTACTTACCCATGCTGAAAACTGATTTAAGTCTTGCCCTCTAAAAGAGATTAAAGATCCACCATCACATTGTTGCGGCCCAAAATTTGCAGAGAGAAGTGTTCCCCAACGTCCTTGAGCTTCGATTCTTTCTTGTTAGTCGCTATGATCCATGTACTTTTTCTCTGTGGGCATGAGTTCTGCACCGTTGCAAGTGAGATTAAAAACCACCACATGTCTCTCGTGCAGATTATCCAGCTCAGGAACTTTGCCTTCAGGGTGTTCCACACAATCACTTCTTCTTTCTCGCCGTTCACCACTTTCTTTATGAGTGGTACTCCTTCGACTTTGTTTTTTTTAAATAAAAAATTCGAGTGCTTCATTGTCAATGAGTTCAATTTGATCTTGTTTGATTGCAGGTTGTGAGGTGTGTATATCGAAAGAGCGGCCAGTAGTTGGAGAGGCCATTTCACCGTTCCAGTGTGTGCCGGGCTAATGTGCCCTGTCGCCTCACTCAGAAAGGTTGAGATTGGCTACAGAATCGAGCTTTTGCCGCTATTATGTGGAGTAGTCCCAAAGTAGACTGTTGGCGGAGGGGTGGTGGGGAGAGAGTTGTGGGGGGAAAAGGCGGTGGGGATAATGTGAGTTGGGTCAGGGGTGAGATCAAAGGGTGAGAAAGGATATTAGTCAGAAGGAGGAGGGGGGGGGGGGGTCGATTTTGGTGTGCAGGAAGGTGGTCGAATAAGAGGGGGTTTCGTACATGTATGGTTCCCGGGAAATAGCGTTTGAAAGGGGTCGAATAAGGGGCAGTGGGGATAATCTGAGATTTTTTTTATTTTTTTTTTATTTTTTTTTTGTGTGTGTGTGTGTGTGTGTCCTATGTGATGTCTAGTGCTGTCAGATCACGGGTTTAGATGGAGAGGAACTAACTAGTGGGATGTGTTGCTGGCGGACGTTTTTGGTGGCGGATCGAGATGGTTTGAGGAGTGTAAGAGGGCGGGGGGGGGGKGGATAGACCTGGATGGATAGGGGGAGGACCAGCTGTTGCGGKGGGGGGTCAGGGGGGAGGGGGGTGGGGTGGAATACGGGGTGTACAGACGGGCGCTGTCTGATGCTATACGACTCGGGTATAGATGGCGATGGTCGAAGTAGAGGGGTGGTCTTAATGTAGTGGCGATTTGGGATGGATCGAGAACGCGGTATTGGGGATTGACGGAGGTGGGCGTTCTGGTGTCTAATAGGGGCCGTAAGTGGTGGGAGGATGGATGCGCGTTAGGGTGTAAGGGTGAAATAGGATAGGGGCGCGGCCAGGGAGGGGTGGAATATGGGCGAGGCCAGTGAGGCTGGAATTTGGGTGAGGCTGGGGTAGGTCAAAATATTGGATTTGAGTGTCGAAGAGGGGCCGTGAGTGGCAGGGGAATGAGAGGGCTTAGAGGTATGGTGGTGTAAATAAGGGAGTGGTGGGTTGCGAGGGCAGGATCAAGACATACGACTGGGAATGGGGATCTCGAAGAGTAAAAGCGTACTCTAGTAGTTAAATAATAAGGACGATTATTCTCTGAAAGACAGGCGGTTCTGGGGTTGAAGATGGGTCTGGAGCGGGAATGAAAGGCGCAATATGGTGGACGGGTGAAGCTGGCAATGAAGCGGTGGGGGGCGGGGGGGTTGGAAGGGGGGGAGGTAGGGAGTGGGTCTGAGGGCGAGATGGGTTGTGGGTTGTGGGTTCGAAGGAGGGTGGGGTGGGCAGTGAGGGGTGATCGGTGAGAGGGGTAGTAAGTACGGACTGGGGGGTATTATGGCTGAGGTGTTAGAGTTGTGCTGGGCGGGCGATCACGCTTGTTGGGGTGGGGTATGGGATGTCAGAGTCGAGGGGAGGTAGGGAGTGGGTTCGAGGGCGAGATGGGTTGTGGGTTGTAGGTTCGAAGGAGGGTGGGGTGGGCAGTGAGGGGTGATCGGTGAGAGGTGTAGTAAGTACGGACTGTAGTGTTATGGACTGGGGGGTACTATGGCTGAGGTGTTAGAGTTGTGATGGGCGGGCAATCACGCTTGTTGGGGTGGGGTATGGGATGTCAGAGTCTAGGGAAGGTTGGGTGGG